AACTAAGCTTCCCAAACCGACTTGCCTTTCGTTTTTCGTCCGCTGAAAAATGCACAACTGCATCTTAGCCTCGATGCGCCCGCTGCGTGCGCGAGAGAGACGGATATATCCACCCAGGTCGTAAATATACATGCATGAGTACCGTAATGAATCGATAATTTGTTCCGAATATTTTTTAGCCTGCCGAAATTCCGAACCACCGACGGATGTTATTGCCTGCCTCTTCACCCGCAAAAATACGTCTCTCAGAGGTTATGAAAGTGATTAAGCCTCTACGGATATAGAAGCAATGGTAGTAACATCTATTTTTAAATATTATGCATTGTTTTAATTCCTGCGCCTACTGGTGGGGAAGCATTGCAATCCAGAAAAATGTTGATATTGAGATGTTATGTTTCATCGCTCATTTCTGTCGGTTTGTATGTCTGTCTGTTTCAGAAGCTCCCGATCGTCTTCGGAAATTTTTTTTCGGGGGCTTCCAGATTGAACGTTAGAAAGACATCACTTGTAACTGCAAAATGCTTCATATATCATATCTCGAAGAACATCATTGCTTAAAATTTTGTTTCAACATATGTGTATGCAGAGTAGGTGATGACCTCATTAAGTAAGTAGCAATACGACAGATTGCTAACGGTCCCGTATAAATAATATCCTTTGGCCGTCATCTTCAAAGCGATAACTCAAACTCGTTTGCAATTAACGCATTCTTCGCATTGGTATGCAAAAAGTACCCTATGTTATTGTCGCCAAGTGATGAGAGGACCAGATTCGAATGTATATCTTTTGCCATAATTTTCACGATGAATATAAAGTAGCAGATAACAGCAATTGGGCCGGCATGAATATTCAGTGGGTCTCATTTGGCGCTGCAAGTATTCAGGGATGGCATGTGCAAATTAGGAACCTTCAAGAAAGTGGTATTGATGACTGAAAAATTAAGCAGAAGCTGCGTTTCACGATCGCCAAATTTTTACTATCTATTACCAGAATCGACCACTAGTGTGGCCGTTAAATGCTGTCGATTTTGGCGAAAAAAGTATGTTATGTAAAATTGACTGCTGAATAAAAAACAGTGAAACATAAGATTAATAAGTGACCAAAGTGTTTTTTCCAAGATTTTGAGCACGTACCTTCGAGCATCTGCTCAAAAAAAAAATGTGATTCAATTTTACGGCATAATCTTATTCGAAAAGGACCTCTTTTAACGAATCTGCATGTTGCCGGTCACCGAATACCGTCAAAAATTGTTGAAATAATTTTTATAAGCGAATTTCAAAAATTATTTTTTCCGCATGGGACGGAGGTTTTGGGCTATTCGCAACAAAAAAGATACTACTTTAAGGCACCAGTAGTGCATTACGCTGTCAAAATCTCCCTATTTTTATTGATACCTGTATACCATTTTTTTTTCAAGTGTTACCCGGGTGCGAAAACTCTTGGATACTCGGTAAACACGACTCGGGTACCCTGGTCCGAAAACTCGTATCTATATGATCTAAGTTATTCGGACTATCTTTCCGCGCCGACTTTTTTGTAAACGAAAAATGTTTGTTTTGAACCGTACCTGTTAATATATCGTCTACACATTCCTGCTTACAACAATTAAAAATCCAAGAAATATTATATTGGTTCTGAGATCAAGAAGGAGCCTGTGCGGGGCTCCACCACAATGCACTCTTTGTTGGCCGAGCTCGGGACTTGCAACTTGCGGCTATTTGTTACTTTACTGCGAAACCAGCTAGCAGGAATTCCTGCAATAAACGCTATATCACTACACGGTGTTTGAGGTCTACGTACGAGGCTAGTGAGAAGGTATGCACAGACGGGGAAGTATCTTAGTCGTGAAAAATTTCCCCCACACCCCAATAACTGGGAAAGTACCGCTCTGACTTTGATGAAAATTTGACACAGCACTATGTCAAGACGGAAAGGCTTTTTAGTTTTAAAAAATCGAACCAGTGGCTGCGGAGCAACACAAACTTTCGTGTGGTGGTCTCACGAATGACCGATCATCGCCGGTTCTGGATCCTAACTGACGGAGTGGTTCAGCAACGTTGCCAGATGTTCGATACTATCGGTAGGACAGGGAAGAAATTTCTAGAGCACAGCGTTATTAATTGGGGGTCGTAGCTAAATTTTTCCTCGAAGGGTATTCTTGATGATAGAGGTAGCTTAAGGGCGTTCAACAGAAAAAATCGACCCATGGAGCATTGAAAAAATCAGAATATTGAATAAATAAATGATTATTTCACGAATGTATGCCTACAGGTATGTGCACAAAATGGCGTGTGGTGGTCTCCACGAATGACCGATTATCGCTGGTTCTGGATCATAACTGACGGAGTGGTTCAGCAACGTTGCCAGATGGTCGACACTATCGGTAGGACAGGGGAGATTTTTCTAGAGCATAGTCATTAAATGGGGGTCGTTGCTAAATTTTCCTCAAAGGGTATACTCGATGATAGAGGTAGCTTAAGGGCGTTCAACAGAAAAATTTGACCCATGGAGCATTGAAAAAATCAGAATAAATAAATTATTATTTCCTAGTACCACGAATGTATGCCTATGTGCACAAAATGACGTAAGGTGGTTTCCACGTATGACCGATTATCGCTGATTCTGGATCATAACTGACGGAGTGGTTCAGCATCGTTGCCAGATGGTCGACACTATCGGTAGGACAGGGGAGAAATTTCTAGAGCATAGCGTCATTAAATGGGGGTCGTAGCTAAATTTTCCTCAAAGGGTATAGTCGATGATTTGTTCTTGATCTGATGTGTTAGACAAATATTTTCATCGCTCCGTTGCACTGTGCCCAAGTCTGAAGCAAAATCTGATAGCACATCGTTGCTTGAAATTAATGTCACTGATTCTTAGAACACAATAGAAAAACTATTTCACAAAAAAATAACTACGGGCAACCGAATGACTCGAGCGAGTTAAAACTTGTACTGGAGGCGGATCACATGTTCCGCTGTCTCCTCTCCAAGCTCAGCGCCTCCAGTGTTGCCAGATCGAACGCTACGTTGCCGGTCTCATCACTTGATTTGCAGACATCGTATGCCATGTATGAGACCAACTTGGGTTCATGCTATTTCGATTGTGAATAGACATAGTCACATTTGCTGTATAAAATAGCATAACTGCTCATTTCTTTCACAGTCCTGTCTATCCATCTAGATTAGGAAACTAAGAAGAATCTTTTTTCCAGAGGCGTAAAACATTCTCCGCGTAGACGACGGTCGAGCCGCGATGCATCTTTTTAGTACCTAGTTCATTCCGAGTGTACTTGAAAGGCAAAAAGCGCTAGCAGAGAAGACCTGCGGAGCTTGAAAGCTTTTAATCTCTCGGTTGTGTAAAAAGGCAGCGCCCGTACCTTTACGGATCGGATGGAAGAAAAAGGCTTTTCAAAGGCATCACTGCCAGCGACACTGTTCTCATTTCATATCATTTCCCAAAGTTCGTTGCGCTTACAGATAAGTCTACGGAGGCTGTCTTACGAATTTTAATTACTTTGTTCGTTAAATGGTGTCTAGAAGGTATTTCGTCACTTGATATTTTTTATTATTGTACAGAACAGGCACAAGAGTTGCTCCGAACGCAAAGAGTTAGTGACTATCGATACACACAAAATAATATGTAGCAACGAATTAAAAGAAGAAATAGTAAAGCTCAAGCAGGAGTTAAATCAAAAAAATGCATCCATTGATAAACAAAGGAGACAATACAAAGCATTTGAAGATGATGCAACTACACAATATTCACAGCAGCTTCAATCTCGGGATCTCAACATTCAAACACTAGATCGAGAGCTACTAAAAGAAGAAAATAAAGTTATAGAACTCGAGAAAAGTATGATGCAGATATGAACCGATGCAAAAATGAGTCTGATACCGAAATAAAAGCGTTAGTACAAGAACTAGCAGATGAAAAACGCAAAAATAGGGGTATTAACAACCAACTAAAAGAGTAAGCCATGGAATGCTTACTATGAATCTGCTAGATGAGTTAGAACAGACTGAAAATCATCGAGTACTTGTACTCTCACATTAAGTAGGAAATAGTAACAAATCTCAAACAGGACATGGGAGGAGCTTCATCTAGATGTCGAAATGAAAAATTATATAGAGGAAGAAGTTGAGGTCTGCGTTGATTGAAAACTAAAAAAAGCAAGAAGAGCGATCTAGAACTCGTAGTGTGGATACTACCCAGGAGATTCCTATTATACAAACCTATCCAGAAGTTGTTACCTAACATAAATCAAGCACAACTAGCATAAAAGAACCATGAAAAAATCTCAAGTCACAGATAACAAACAGGCCATTAATTGACAATGAGGAAACTTTTATCATATTTGTAGCCTAAGTGTTTTCACTCTCTGGAAGAGTCTTGTAATTTTTAATAATTACACATTTATCTATTTTATTGATTATTTTACTTAATATACACTTATGCTGCGTACTTTTTATGTTCTATTTATACATTTAAACAAACATACTGTTTTCACTACTGATTTTATAACTTGTTATCATCTATTTAATTCTAATTTAGTAGATGTATATTTTTCTTTTGCTTATACGTATATCTGACCTTTGCCTATTGACGTTTCATATCCGTAAAGCATTTTGAATAAAAGTTATTATTATTAATAAAAAAAATCAGTCTCATCACTTAATTTACAGACCTGGTATGTATCCAAAGCACTAGTTAGATTCAATGTCCCACGAAATGTCCTTTGTATGCTGGAGGATGCATATTTGGAGATTCTTAGTTAATACAACTCTGGCTCTTTGAATATGGTGACAAGAACAACATGTGTTGGTACAAAATGTGTTGGGTTGCTTTGCCGTTAACAGTGCAACAATATTAATTATTAAATAGAGAGGCAGTGCCTAAATCCATGAAAAAATATGGCAAGTAGCAATTTTTATACAATACAGGGTGGACTCAGTTCGCGACATTTTTAACAGGAATTCGTGATCCTTCCACGACTATGAAAGTTTCTTCTAATTTATTCCTATGATATATAAATAGTTCATTAAACAACTGAAATTATTGTGTTACAGGTAAATGGTTATTCAAAATACAACCGAAATTGAGCGTGAAGATTTTTCTGATGGTAAGTGTTTATATAGCTCCTAAAGTTGTCTAAGAAGTAGTTAATTTTCTTCAAAAGGACCCCTCATTATTTTCATGATATTCGGGGAACAAAGCTATTTTCAACAACAAAATGATAAACAAACCATGGGCGTAGTGAAGAAAAGCATTTACTTATTAAGTAAATTTTTATTCAAATTTCTTCTGAAAGTAGTAAAAACTAATCTGATGTACCTATTAAAGTCTACTTTAAGCTTTAAATCAATACATCTTCAAAACTACTGAACTGAAGTACATTAATTTTATATTATTATAAAGGGAATTGAAAGACCTTTAAAATAAGGTATCACTCGACCCCCCTTTCCATTTAAGATTTTAGGGTTGGTGTCACACCCGCCCAGGGGGCTGCACGTGCGTCTGTTTCGTTTTCGATGCGTCACCCTGTATATGACTTGTAATTGGACAGTATATAGTGAATATAATTGCAATCTGTGGCATTATGTAAGTATAAAATATAAGATTCCACATACAGTTAATTACTTCACCAACCAGGAATTTTCTTTTCTTATCTCTCTCATTTTTGAAATTCAGCGGATTTGCGTATGTAATTTCCAGAATCACGATCAGTTTCAAAACGAGGTCACAACAAATGTACAACAGCTAGTGCTAACTTGACACCTTGCTCTTCAAAATGTCACAAACAATCGACAAAATGTCACTTTCCAAGATTCGTAATACCGTTCGTACTTTCTTTTTGGATGACTCTTTACCGTTGATATTATTGTATTGAGCCAAAAACTATTGGCTGTTGCGGTTGAGAGACAAAGGCTAGAACTAAAAAAATGGAGTCAAGTACTATTTACCTAAGAATGACTATAAAAATCTATTTAGAAATCAGGCATAAATAATAATAATAATATTAATTCACTCAATGTACAAAGATAACAAACAATATGAGTAAATAAATATAAAATCAAAACAGGCCCAATAGAAGGCATCGCCTGTACATGGACCAATAAATTTAAGTTGAAACTGTAGAATGCAAATGAAAAAAAAGGACAAAAATTAGCTACAGTAGATTATGTATTTAGTTGATGTTCGTATTTATGAGTTTATGAATTTCAGTCCTAGATATAGAATGTAGCCACTTTTTTAAATTTCTTTTGAAACAATTTCCGAAACGTAAATCTTTTAAGTCTTTAGGTATAATTTCATAAAATTTAGGCGCTAAATAGAGATATGATCGCTGCATTATAGATTTATGCGGTTGAGGAACTACTGTGCCACGAATTTTGTACCTGGTATAATGATTACGTTTAATTTTTTGGTCGGTACAAATTTATGGTAGTGAGTGATACTGTGTAAGAAATAAAGCTGTCTTATATTATACATTCGAACATCTGCGTATAATTTTTCAGTGGGATAAAGTTTCGGATTTTTAAATATCATTTTTAGAATACTTTTTTGAAAAACATCTAAATTATAGATATGTGAGGAACATGCAGCTCCCCATGCTAATATACCATATGTGAGATGAGGCTCAATCAGTGCATGGTATAATGTTCGAAGATATTTTTCTGTCAATATATTCCCAAGGTATTTAATTTTGTAGGATACAAATCTAACTTTCTTTAAAATATAATTGACATGGATGTCCCATCGTAAGTGAGGATCCAAGACCACTCCAAGGTATTTTATGTTGGGCACTCTATTAATTTGCATTTTTTGATCATTAATATTGAAGGAGAAATTTGTGTAATTTGGCAGATGTCTAGCATAAGATCCAAATGGTAAAAAATGTGTTTTAGAATAGTTAATGCTTAATTTTCTACTGTTAAACCACCGAATAATTTTGATAAAATCATTTTCAATTAGATTTTTCACATCAGACCAGTCAGTGCCTTCATATAATATTGCAGTATCATCTGCAAAACTAGTTATTTTGCCAACACAATTAATTTGGAAAATATCATTTAAATATATATTGAATAACAGCGGACCTAAGACAGTTCCTTGTGGGACACCACACTACATATACATTTCTTTACTAAATGATCCTGATATCTGCACAGATTGTGGGCGATTTGACAAATAACTTTCGATCAGTGAGTACGCGTTTCCTCTGAAACCAATTCTCTCCAATGCTTCTAATAATAATTTGTGATTAACTGTGTCAAAAGCTTTCTTTAAATCAACAAAAATGCAGATTGAAGGGATTCTGTTATCAATATTTTGATGTATTTCATTTACAATTTTAGTTATTGCGTCCGATGTAGCCTTCCCTTCTGTAAATCCATATTGATTTTCACTTAAAATTTTGAATTTTGTGAGGTATCGAATCATTCTAGTAGATAAAACTTTTTCAAAAACCTTTGCTACACTGGATATTATTGATATTGGTCTATAGTTGTTAACATCTAGTTTTTGTTCCTGATTTATGTATCGGTATTATATTACCTTTTTTTAAAATTGAGGGATATATGCCAGATTCAAAGCATTTGTTGATTAGGTAAGTGAGTGGTTCTGTTATGTCCTCGGCTATAATTTTCAAATGCTCGCTTTTAATACCATCGAACCCAGGACTTTTCCGATTTTTTAAGGACATAACAGTGGTGTATACTTCACATTGCTCGACTTTATCCAAAATAAATTCTTTTTGGAGGCTGAGTATTTTGTACATTTGCTTGTATATTACTTGCTAAATTTTCGCCTATGTCAGTAAAGAATTGTACAAATTCATCGCATATCTGTTGAGTATTTTTTAATACTGTTCCCGATGTTGTATTTAACTCAGTGACACACTCTTTAACTTTTGTTTTCCCAGTAATCTCATCAATAGTTGTCCAAAGCCGCTTAGGATCATTTAAGTTATTATACAATTTATTTAGGTAATGTTTTCGTTTGGTTTGCCTTACAAGCTCTATAAATTTATTTTTATATTGGTTGTAGCAGTCGGTATTCTCTGTAGTTGGCGTTAGTTTCATTACATTATATAGTCTTTCTTTTTCTATTGCCGATGTTATTAATCCTTTGGTAATCCAGGCATTTCTGCTTTTCTCTTTGTGACTAATTATTACTTTATTGGTACTAATATCTATTAGTTTTTTTATTTTCTCTATGAACAGTCCCGTTGCTTTGTCTATATTATTTATAGAGTATAATTGTTCCCAGGATTCTTGTTTGACATTTGATATTAGTTTTGAATTGTCGACAAAAAATTTGTAATTTTCCTGGTTGTTACCAACGATGTGCAAAATTGTAGGTAACTTGAAATGCGACGAAAACTTGCAGTGAACCAGATAGTGCACACATAGCTCGTAACATATTTACGATTTTCAGATCCGTTTTTGACGTTCCGTGCCAGTCGCAGCAGGTACGCGACAAGCGGATACTCAAAATATTTCATGGCCGTCGTAAACGGTATTTTAACAGCTTCCACAAATGTAAAATAATTTTATAAACATATCCGGCGTTCATCCGCTACGACGGTAACACAATGTTTGTTTTATTGGGCGGTGTTCAGAGTCGTTACGGCGGTTCGTTCCGAGGAGCTTTCCAACTGGAAAGTTTTAATGTTTAAGTAAACGTTAATGTGCTTGAGCAATGTGAAACCGATGCTATCCTTCCGGGATTCCCTGGATTTGCATTTGTTTGGAGAGGAAAAATTGCAAGCGCGAAAAATTTTCAAATTGAGAGATTTTGGTGTTATATGAAAAACCAAACCCATTTCCGTCATAATGTGTCTCGCTAATTTTATAACCGCCTTGAGAAGTAGCGCTCTGATTTTGACGAAATTTTCATACAAGGTCACTACTATGTCAAGAATAAAAAAGCCTTGTAGCTTTTGAAAAACGGTCCAGTGGGGGTGGAGCTAGGCGTAAAAATACTGTTGGTGAAACGTGAGGCAATAATATTTTTTTTAGACTACAAATAACTATCGTTATAGGGCTATATGTTCCGCTGAAGTTATATTGATTCCAAAAAAGGTGAGTTCGATATTTCCCCATTAGCCTGCCGTCAGCTCCGTTCAAGCTCGCTGAAAAGGCGATTCTACGTTACTTTGAGAATTTCTCGTCAGATCACCATGTGCAATTCTGTTTTCGGTCTGAAGATAGTACGAAGCTACAGGCGGTTAGGCTGGTGGAACTAGTTACCAGAGGATTCACCCTTAACGAAAGTACTGGCATCTTGCTTTTGGATGTCTCAAAAGCATTTGACAAGGTGTGGCACGTGGGCCTCCTGTATAAACTAATCCAAAAGGGCTTCCCTTTTTGGCTTCTAAAACTACTGAAATCCTTCCTTGAATGATCAAAATTGACAATGTCCTGTCGACAACACGGCTGATTACAGCCGGCGTCCCTCAAGGTTCGGTCCTTGGACCTATCCTTTACTCACTGTACGTCCATGACGTCCCTAGTTCCAGCAACTGTGAAGTCTATCTCTACGCTGACGATACTGCATTGGTGGCTCAGTCGTGGTCTGGTCACCTAGTCCATGACAGGCTGCAAAGTGCGGTGGAGGAAGTATTAGATTGAGCGGATCGGTGGCTAATTAAAATTAACCATTCGAAAACGCAGGCAATCTACTGTACAAAAAGACGTCGCGGCGTTCCGCCTGAAGTTCCAATGGATGGACTTCGTCTACGTCATTCTGGACAAAGGGATGACTTGGCGCAACCATATAGTAGCGTTAAAAACTAAATTCCAAATTACGTTTCGACAGCTTTACCCATTATTATGTAAACGTTCAAAATTAAGTTTGATTAACAAGATTCGATTCTATAAGGTGGTCATGAGACCACCAATGACTTACGCATGTGCGGCTTGGTGTTTTATTGCTAAAACACACATGCGAAATCTGCAGGTTCTGCAAAGCAGCACGTTGCGCACTATTGCTGACGCCCCATGGTATGTCTCTAACGAAACTCTACATAGAGATCTCGATGTCTCTTACCTAAAGGACTACACTAAGCAACAGGCGCAGCGGCGCTATCGCCTAGCGGAATCGCACAGCAACCCTCTG